GCTGAATATTGGCGATAGATTGAAGTTGTTTGGTATCTCACTCACTGCTAGTTGCCCACTGTGCCAATATCATGCTGAAGATCATAACCATCTTTTCTTCACTTGCCCCTTTTCTAAAAGGGTTTGGATGGCCATCAAAGCAAAGATCAATGTTCCCTGGCCCACTATGCCTTGGTCTGAACTAGTAGACCATCTTGCACAGAATGTGAGGGGTAAGTCTTTGGGTTCCATCCTAAGTAGGCTTTCCTTCACTTGTTCTATTTATAATATTTGGCTTGAGAAAAATCATAGAATCTTCACAAAACAAAAAACCCCTGAGGAGGTTGTTCTCTTAAATACTGTGAGTATGATTAGATTCAGAATTATGTCTATCAAAAATTTAAAGAGGAAATCTAATGATAATTGGTTTCTATCAAATTGGAGACTCCCTATCTCCATTCTGAAAAATGTTACTACTGTGCATACTGGCCCTAGAGCTGGAGGGTTACATATTTCTTTTGTTGGTGGAGTATGATAAGCTATATAATGTGTGACACTGTAACATTTCTTTCTAACTTTTTGCTATGCAGATTGTCCAGTTGGCCTCATTGTAGTGATGATGGGTTGAGGGAAAGTGAGCTCATACCTAGGTTTGAGTGTGAGGTTTCTAGAGGGTTGAGTGAACTGAGACCCTATATGATTTCTAAATCTGTTTATTTTTAGGACTACATAGATGGTACTGATGTAAGGGAGTTATTTGCTGAGTGCCTAGTGATGCAAGTCTATATTTTTTGAGTGGCGTGGTTTTGGTTTATTTTACCTGCTTCTTTGCTGAGTGTGTTTATATTGTTATGGGTTAAGTATATTAGCATACATAAGAGTGAAATTTGCTACATGTCTTATTAGTCTTGTGAGTTGAGTGAACTAGCATCAGTCTTGTGGGTTGAGTGAACTAGCCAATATAGTGTGTGTATGTGTGTGTGTGTGCGCGCACGTATGAGGAATCATAGTTGAGTAACTCAGTGGCAGGGTTATATAACAAACTTGGGCTTTTTCCTGGGGGGGTTTCTATTCCTACTCTTTTGGTTATTATTGGTTATGGATTCATATATGTTTTTAGAATGTGGCTCTATATATGGTTTCTATTTTGATCTCTTTTTTCCCAGGACATGCTGAATCCTTTTGGGAGGCAGTGATTACTGAGAAGACAATGGAGACAAATATTTTGGATGAGAGTTGGGAAGACTTCAGGAGGACCAGGCCGCAACAATGCGCCAGTTCTTTGTGTGTACTTCAACATGGAGGGTTTGTGTCTTTAATTATATTTACCTTTGTATATTGGTTTGATGCCTACCCCTTGTAGGCAGTGTTTGGGGAATGTTGGCTTTTTGGCTTTCGAAGGTTAATAATGTAATTTTAAACATGCCCGCAAGGATCAATTAGTCTTTACAGAATATTAATTGCCAACCAATTATCAGACGATTATGTTTTAGTTTTCTCAGCCTCAATGAAGAGGACTTTTACTGGTGGCTTGTTTAGGAGAATTTAGTAAATAATAACAAGTGAAAAATAATTTCAGAATCTGAATTTCATTAAGTAAATGAAAACTTACAATAATCTGACCCAGCCTTGTAGTGGTTTACAGCAACAAGCTATTTGAAACTACTCCTAGGAAATGAAGTGCAATATAGGAATTGAAGTGCAGAAATGTCAAGAACTGTAAAAACTAGAACAAAAAACAAAGCAAATAAACTGTTTTTTTGATCTGAGTCTGGTCCTTCACTCTGGGGCCTTCTCTGCTATTTATACTCTTCAATGATAACCGTCGAAGTGGACTTCCAACCGTCGAAATGTTCTCCCATGATTGTTGAACATGCTCTCTCATAGTCAGTTCCATTACGCCACTCTTACAGTTAGGCTTCCCTTTTGATTTTGAATTTAAAGTTTGTGAGTAACCGTTAGGCCATATCATCTTGTATCCTTCGATTGTTCCAGTTCTACATAGATCCATTATTACCAATACAGACTGCCACGTGTCTGACTTTGGTTGGCAACTTGTATTAACTTTTCCAAATTGCCCTCTTCGTGCCACATGTTAAATTATGATTAGCTTTTACAAATTATATAGCCAACATTACCCCCCGCACTAATATACCAAATACTTGGTGATATTAGTGAACTAATGCAATCCACCTACGTTCTAGGACGTGTATGGACTCTGTGTATGCTGATAGTATAACCGCTTTTTGAATAATGAAGCAATGAACTTCATTAAATCCTTGTATTTTGCACTTCCATTCTTTGAGTAGACGAAAAGGTTGGTACATCCCCAATGGCCAATCACACCTTCTCTTACATCGATCGAGCATACGATGAGTCTATGGAAGATGATTGCAGGTCTCGAAAAAATCTCAGGGCATTTATTGGTTACACCTATCTGCATCCATTTATACAAGTCATGGAAGCTTTTTCAAATTACCAATCTTTAGACCAAAAATCTATCAACTACAGCTTTTTTTAGTTAATGGGTTTTGGAAGCTCCTCTTCTGCCCACTGCTCTCTACATGGGACACAACTGCTTCTTCTTCCTCCAGATCTACTAGCTGGGGAAGTTGGCCTAAACCTGATGAACCTAAATTAAGGGAGCGAATTCACCATCGATTTGTTGAATTCGATGATCCTCTATCTATTTCTCCTTCTACTAGGAGCTCAGTGGTTTACCCCTATGTACCTATTGATCACCGACGCAGTTTGGAGGACAACTTACTTGTGGTGTGGTACACGTCTTCCATGCCAACGAAGGTAGTGTGAGCAACTCCTAATCCAGATAAAGCACAGGGATATTGTAGCTTGACATTTTTGCGCCCCCTTTCGGAGAGCTCGAATTGGTCCTACAGTTTGGACTCCTATCACGGTTCTGAATCTAGTCTCACAAGTGCAATGTGAAACTGATAAACACCAAAGAGTCGAATCCAGCAAATCATTTTAGAAAATCAATTTTGAATCAAATAATGCCAAAACTGCACTGTTTTGCCAGATTACAGAGTCGCCACCTAAATATTTTATTTGAAAAAATTTAAGAAATCCTGACTCGTGCCAAAGGCCACGTGTCTGTCATCACCAAAGTTACGTCAGCTCGGGAACTTGGGTATAAGAGGGGAAGGTCCTGAAATAAGTACCCTCGCTCGCCCGATCAAAGATCGGCCTCTACTAATCATGATATGTTGTTTTATAAACCTCATGTGTTCTTATTCCGGTTATTAGCTAACTTTACTATGTGATGCACACACAAGCAAATATAGGCTAAAATTGCAAGAATTTGAACGAATTCAACTCATGTTTGTTTTTGAAAATGGTTTGAATTTGCCACCCTCAAGTGGGCTAAAACGCAGATTTGCCACTTCACAAAGTGGGCTTAAAACTCACAATCATAGAATTGTTCTAATCACTTAAAACTCACAAAGCCTTCATCCATAGGCATTCATGCAGTTAATCACTTAAGCAAATATCCTCGTGGCAAGCATGCTATCATGGCAACACTCACACTCATGCAAGCATGCTAAAGGGTAAAACTTACTGAGTACTCCAAGCCAAAACAAAAGCTAGTTAGAAATATGCATGATCCTAACTATGATAAGATGCCTAATGCAACACATGCAATAATGTAATTAATAGGCTCGGCTACTTAATCATGGTATATGATACAATTTGAACAACATGTGATAAACACGTATTCAAAGAAGTGTATTGAAATGCAATGTAGTTCGAATGATGTGTCGAGCCTCGGTGCATGCAAGACAAATGAATGATGCAAACATGCAAGCCTAAGGTATGCTAATCGACACATGATCCCTAATCTAACCATCGAAAGCGGATAAATAAAAAGGAGAAAGACGTGGGGTTGGAAGACATGCACACACGCACGCACACTTATTACAACATTACGCCATCGCGAAGGAGGGTCCAAATAAATAAGCTAAGCTAGACTAAACTAAGCTAATTATTACAAAACGAACTAATTAACTATTCTAGCTAATTAATTATTACAACACAATTGAATAACTAGCTATGCCAAGCTAATTAAAATATTACAAAATGAATTAAATGATTAGCTACATTAACTAGCTAGTAAAACAATTTAAACGGCCTCAAGGGACGAGGGATGCATGCATGCTCGGTTGCTTCACTACTACAAATATAGATAAAGATCACACTTTTTTGGTGTGATGTATGTTTTTTAATCACACCTTTTAAGTTTTATTAAAGTGTGGTCTTTAGGAGTATGATTAAAAATGGTCATTTTTAATCACACTTTTTAAGTGTCATTAAAAAATGCTTTCATCACATCTTTTAAGTGTGATTAAAAACATTTAGATCACACATTTTAAGTGTGATTAAAAATATTTAGATCACACCTTTTAAGCGTGATTAAAAACTTTAGTTCACACCTTTTAAGTGTGATTAAAAACTTTAAATCACACCTTTTAAGTGTGATTAAAACATTTAGATCACACCTTTTAAGTGTGATTAAAAATATTTAGATCACACCTTTTAAGTGTGGTTAAAAACATTTAGATCACACCTTTAAGTGTTGGTTAAAAATATTTAGATCACATTTTTTAAGTGTGATTAAAAACTTTAGTTCACACCTTTTAAGTGTGATTAAAAATATTTAGATTACATGTTTTAAGTGTTATTAATAACTAATAAAACCTGCCTGTGATAAAAAAAAAATTGACATATTTAAAGAATAATCAATATTATTTTTGCACGCGCATTTGAATAATGTAATACACACTATATACTATATTTTGAATCACAACCATATATTGAATGAAATAATATCATATATTTCATAAATGAAAGTTAAATGTTTAAAAGTATATACAAAGAAATTAATAAAAAAAAATTAACTGTGATTACATACATTAAAAAATAAAAAATAAAAAACTTGAAAAAAGTAAGTTCTTGAATTCTTTGACCATATTTTGCATCTCTCCAAGAAATTTCTGACCTGAAAAATAAAAAAACAAATTAATTTAAAAACCGCCAGAAGCATATGAATAAACTTACTAATTAATTTATAAACTTACATTTAGATCACACCAAAAATAATGTAATTTATCCAGTTGTTAAACTGTCCCAATCCTTTCCCCACAGCCACCAAAAATGACATAATTGTTTTGATTCTCCACACAAATAGTATAAAGCTACAAAAGATATTGATACCCTTGTAGAAGCCAAAATAAATCATTACTTTGGCTATTCGATTCACTGTTGCGTTGATTATATGCCCAAGAAGCAATGCAATTACAAGGATACCAATTGAAATCATCATCGCAAACCATGGGCATGGTGGTTTTTGTTTGAATCTGCTTCAATCTTTCTAATCTTGTCTGCATCCTGAAATTTCTAGCTGCACTCATTATTTATTCATTCTTGAATTAGAGATTTGTATACAATATATTACCTAAGAGAGTCATCTCCATGAAAATAAATAATTACAGAATTCAATTTTTCAAAAACCAACAATGTATAACAACAAATAATTAAAAGCACAAAACATGAAAAACTCCAAGTAATTAGAGTACATACATCCTGCAGATTTACATGCCTAATTATAGATGTGTATTGGTGCCTCTGGTGTGTTGGACATTTAACATTTCTGAACTGAATTCGAACGCACCTACCAAACATTTTATGGTATGAGAAGTGAAAGTTCAATCAACTGTTACTAAAATGAGGTCACCTAATGAAGAATAGAAAATTCGCTCATTTATCTTGAAAGTGATCATATTTATGTTCTTTTAGTATATGACAATATTCGTTATTTTGAATTTCATTTGTAGATTGGCTACCATTTATTCTTGTCACTTTGCATACTCAAAATATCAGATTTCCACTTCGAATTACTATGAGTACTGTTGGCAGTCGTTCCCTTTCTATGGGACATCAAAATACAACCTTAATTTTCCCAACAACCCTAGTAATTAGCAATATATGAATAGATGTTCATGGCAACCGGTTGTGTCGTGTAAATAAGAAGTGACAGAACAATACCAGGGTTTTCTCAGCACATTACTCTTTTTTTCATCTATACAAAACAGAATTTGGACTTTCAACTGACATTAATAAGTTTAACATACAGAGCATAGGCTAGTATTCAAACATCATTGCCTCCTAATTTAAAAATAAATAAAATAAAAAAATCATAAATAACATTTTAAGCAAAAAATTGAGTTGAATAATAAGTATATTTAAAAACATAAAAAGGAACATACATGGCACTGATGTGACATGCATCATCAGAAAGGCAGGTGCAATTGACAGTACAGTCATACATAAGGGAGGAGTCCACTATTGGTGTTTGCCAGTTCAAGTTTTTGTCATAATGTTTCAAATTGAAATTCCAGCCTTTTTTACCCAGTTGTTCAACTATTTCACCAAGAGCTTCCACTGCAGAAATCAAAGTCATGTTAGCCTTTAAAGTAGTTAGAGATAAATGATATAACATGGAGAAATGTCTATGTATCAGCATCATTAAATATGGTTAGACATCTTAGTATTTTTACAAATTGTGCCTAAAATGAAGTTCATGCATGAATAAACAAGGAAAAATTGGTTAAACAAGATAAATAGTCATATCTGGAACCTTTTTTGAAAATGCCATTTTCAAATTTGTATTACCAAAGTGCCTGATCAGGAAACCTAACCATCTAACAGTTCAAACCTTTAAATTAACTCATATGTTATGACTACACAACATGATTATAGAAGGTTTGTCTTTAACTCATGCCTGTTACATCAAATATAAACTTCAAGGGTATTGAAGAGTAATCATATAATGCTGCTGTGATTTGTTAGTTTATACAATGAATGCAACCAAAATGAAGACAACACTGTGTCTATCCAGCTGCTTTAATACTACAGTGTGCAATAAGAAGATAGCACAAAAAAAGAGAAGAGACAACCTTAGTTCACAAGCCTATTTGCCTCTTCAGCAAGCTCTGTAAAGAAGAGAAACAAATGCGGGGTTAATTGAAGGACTGCTAGCAAGACCTTATGTTATATACTTGGAAGTATATGTTCAACAAGCTTACCAAACATGAAGGATGAAGAGAATAATGAAAGGGCAGTGGTGACTGGCCCAAAACAGCCACACACATCATGCTGATCCTCCCTTAGAACTGTCAACGAGTGGGGCAACCCTTGACAGTTCAGTTCTTGCAAGAGACTATCAGCTCATCACTCCAATGTTGTCTTTTTAATGGAAAATAGCAATCAATCAGGAAGTAGAATTCTAAGAAATTGAGTACTACATGTTGCATCGTTTCGCCATGTTTCAAAGAATGAATAATACATATGAATAATTCATATTTCAAACTTTGAGCATCTCAAGAAACAGCTGAATCAATGGCTGAAAATATTGCAAAAATGAAGCAGCTAGCAAGTGGGTAAATAGAAATTCATTCGTACATATCCAGGAAAATCCATTGCCAACACTGTATATACTCAATTCAAAAAATTTAATGGGTATTCACAGCTAGCATCTTATTATGATTTTAATTGGCTATGCGATAGAGATACTCACAATATCTCCAAAGTCTGCAGTAGTCCTTTTGGTTGAAGGAATCTTGCCACTGAGTTCATTGAAAATCTAAGTGATTCGTGATTAGATCAAGATTAAAATATTCCAAATCCCAAAAATCCAAAACACACAATTTAAATCAACAAGCACTTACGAAAGTGATTTAGATTGTTTGTTTTTCAGATTAAATAATAAATTGACACAAACGATTTTAACGTGGAAAAAACCACAATTGGATACCTCCAACTATGATTAAAAAACCACGGGCGAAACACCACAAATCAATCCACTACTGAAGTAAAAAGATTACAAAGATATCATACAAAGATTACCCAACTTAGTCAATCTGTCTTCGAATCTTCTGTAACTCTTTTTCACGACTTCATCTCGGAACTGATCAATCTTGAAGTTGATTCCACAACCTCACTCACATATAGAATCAAACACCTTTTGAAACTATACGCTTGAATCTTCGGAATCCACCGAAGAGAACTCTCTCTTGAATTTAAAGAAACCAACTCCTTGATGTATGTATTTTAGATCATGAGTGAAGAACTCTTCTCAAGACATCAAGGAAAACTCACCAAAATCTCTCTACAAGAAGACCTCAGAAAATATCAAAGTAGATCTCAAAAAGTAATCCTAAAGATTGGAGAAACCAACTACTTATAGATTTCCGGATTCGGAAGCTCGCTCGAGCGAAGCTTATCTCGCTCGAGCGAGAAGCTTATCTCGCGTGACTTCCATAATGACCTTCGCTCGAGCCAGAAAGTCTTCGCTCGAGCGAGGAATAAACTCTTTCAGGTTTGTACGCAGATGCAGTTCTTCGCTCGAGCCTCCAATGCTTCGCTCGAGCGCACAATGACCTCTTTCAGGTTTGCAGCCAGACGCAGTCCTTCGCTCGAGCGAGTCCTTCTTCGCTCGAGCGAGCAACACAAAACAGCACAGAAATTACAACTCGATTACACAAGTTTGTTCGTGGAATTGACAAGACTTAGGGACCTAACAATTGTTATTAAAAACCCTGCTCAAATTAATTCACAAGATGACATTGAAATTAGGGCTCAGATTGAGAGAAACGGGGCTGCCCGGAAATTCAGTCCAACATTCCTCATCATATTATATTACAACTCGATTACACAAGTTTGTTCGTGGAATTGACAAGACTTAGGGACCTAACAATCTCCCCCTTTGTCAATACCCGGACAAAACTTCCTAACACAATTTCCTAAACAAACAAACTAGCTAAAACGATTACAACTTAAAGCAAATGAACTAGCTAAAACTATTACAACTCAAGGTAAACCAACTATGCAACCAATCTCAAAACAAACGGGAACGAACATCTTGAACCAATAAACCAAACTTGAGGAAAACCTGTAATCAAAGCTAACTCCATCAAACCTGAAAAGTAACATATCAAACCAAACCATATCAAACCAAACCATCAAGATATAACACAAAAACATATAGATAAAACATATAGCCCCCAATATCCATATCAATAATAGCCACATCATATAAACAGAAACGTCCAAATAGCCATCTGCAAAACAAACATTGAGTACCAGTACCCCAAAACTACTCCCCCTTTTTGTCCGGGAGTGACCCAAAAACATCAACAGGCAGATACAGCATAAAAAAAACACGATCCAAAGTAAGAACAAAAACTGTCCAAGAGAAGCATATGCCAAAAGCTAAGAAGGAGAAGATGGTGGCTGCTGCAACTGAAGAAGAGAAATAATCTGTGCAAGCATGGCACTCTGCTCATCAAGGCGGCCATCAACACCATCAAGACGTGTAGCCAAAATATCAAGGCGACGTGTAACAGACTGCTCAAAGTGCTGGAGCTGGCCACGAAATGAGCGAGGACGTAGCTCAGGAAGATCAGGGGCACCGGCATTGGCGGCCTCAAACTCCTCCTCCTCGGCAAGGGGATCATCAGTACCTGCACCAGAACTCCCAACCCCCGACACACTCCCCCTCACATGAGCCTGACTCTGAGAGACTGTCAATTTACTAATGGGTTTGATAGGGTAAGCAAACTCATCATCATCAAAAGAAAGAATATCAAGGGCAGTGAGAAAACGAGTAAGCAAACACCCATAAGGAAGCCCCAAAGATTTTCTGCCCTCAGAGACCCCAATCACTTTTGACACAATCATCTCCGGAAGGTCAATAGGTAGGCGGTGATGAATACAATACAGAACATAACCTTGGTCCTGAGTAATATGCGAGGAATGGGTGGTGACATAAAGATTCGCACACACGATGATATTCAAGAGACGGAACCGAGGAAGCAACTCATTTTGCTGAAGGAGATCCCCAGTGACCCAAGTCCGGTCAACACCACATAACTCAGAAGCAACACAATTAAAATCAACACCTGACCGGGTAAGAAACGGAAAATGACAATTGTGAACCTCAGGAAGACCAAGTAAAATCCGAAACACATCCCCAGTGATAACAAGAGACTTCTTCCTAACCCAAGTCTCAAAGGATGCCGGAAGTTCTTTGCGAATGGAATGGATATTGCAATAGAATTCCCGGATGAGACTCAAATTTTGTGGCCCGGAGAAATGCAACCCTTGATCTCCGCCTAACGTATCAAATAAAGACCGAATGGGAATAACCTCAAAGGCATTTGGGAGGATATTGCGCTCTAAATGTACGGTACGAGATGCAAAAGACTCCCTAAACAACTTAGATTTTTCTTTAGATGGGAACTTTTCAGAGTTGAAGGATGAACGAGAAACCGTAGCTTTACGACGCTTGGATGACTCGGCCATGACTAATACAACCCAAACAGAGCAATATAGACAAGAGCCCAGAAAGACAAGGAATATCCAATAGACAACACCAGAAAACCCCCAAAACAAAACACAAATAGTCAGTCAAAACAAATTAGTCCACCAGGGGTTAGAAAAGCAGTGAAATTCGTAACATTAGCATAAAAGAAATGAAATGAAGAGCAGTGCTAAAGAGACAAACAATCAGCCACAGAGAAAACAAGATATTACAGCCATTATAGAATCGAAACATCAATGTATGAAACAATAGAGAGAAAACAGATTACATAATGGCAATATATGTATATATAAATGAAATCCCCAATGTTAAACTCTGAACAAAACCCCAATGGTAAACCCTAAGCACAATGGAGAGTGTAATGGACAAAATCAAGAACCCTAGATGCAAGAGTGAGGCTCGAAAATTAGTGGGAAGAACCGCAACCAACAAAAATAAAACCTAGAGTCTAACACATCCAAATCTCAACCACATCGCAACCCAAATAACATAAAAAAGGAAAATAAAACGAAGAAATGGGAAAAAACACTTACCAGAAATCGGAGAAAGATGATGAAGAACCAAAAAAAAACTCCGAAATCAAGAGGGAAAAAGGCAGAAGATCGCAGCAAAGATAACCACGAAAAACCCTAGGGGAGAGAGAGAGAGAAAAGAAGAAGGAGGGGAAAAGATGAACTGAAAAGGCACAGATTCAGAATTTGAACCGCGAAAGGTCGCTCGAGTGAATACTTTAGCGCTCGAGCGAGAGAAAAAAATGCCCAGGTGGTCGCTTGAGCTAAGAAAGGGTCGGTCGAGCCAAAAAAGCATGTTCTCAGGTCTAATGCAGTGGCAAAAGCACGCTCGAGCGAGTCAATTGTGGCTCGAGCCAAGAGAAAAAAAAAAGCCAAAAAAAGATTTTTTTTTTTTTTTTTTAAAAAAAAAAAAACAAAAACCAAAAAAAAAGGGGGACCAAACCAAGGAAGAGAGATGGGGAAGAAGATACAAGCACAGAGGCTCTCCATCTCCTTTCTCTCTCTGGGTTTTATGATTTACCCCATTTTTTCATCTGGGTTTTCCTCAAATCCCTCATAAACCCATTCGATATATATATATATATATATAACAATTATTTAAACAAAAGTTGGAGATTCTTTT